CAAAAACAAAAACAAAAACAAAGAGCATCTGGAACAGTGTGATACCAGTAGATGTGTAGGTTCAGGGATCTGACAGAGAAGAATGGAACTTGAGACCACTCTATCCCCAACAAACAAAACAGAAAGGAGAAGAAAAGTAGTTCTGCCCATGAGGAAAAATCACCAAAATTTTCCTCTACATTCACAATAAGGCCCATTGTGTTTTGGCAAGGTGGAAGGGGCATACTTCTCCCACACATCCTCACCCACAACCATCTAAGGCAAAACTTGACAGTCAACATGCTTTGCTTTTACACAAAACTCACGATCATTCTCTTCCAGAATGATTGTAGAGAAAGAGTAGGGTAAGAGTCCTACACAATCACAGGAGAAACCACATCAGCTGCCAATTTAAGTAAGCCCAGTCTTTGGTTCATAAATATGGCCCAAAACCTAAGGATCATCAAAACAGCAAAAATCCAAAAGCAATAAAAAAGACAATCCCAATGAAATTCAAGAACAGAAGAAAACTTCATAAAAATTTTAATTAGTATTTTCGGAAAGATAGGCAAATAGCAACAGGCTGTTATTTGTTTTTTAAAAAATAAAGGAAATCAGAAAATAAGAGTTTCTAGAAACCAAAATATGATATCCAATATAAAAATACAATAGATAAATAACAAAATAAAGTGAACTTCTAGTGATCTAGAAGTTAAAGATAAGGAAAAGATAAAGAATTTAAAAATAGGAGTGGCTGGGCACAGTGACTCACACCTGTAATCCCAATACGCTGAGAGGCTAAGGCAGGAGGATTGCTTGAGCTTAGGAGTTCAAGACCAGCCTGAACAAAAGAGACTCCTGTCTCTAATAAAAACAGAAAAATTAGGTAGGCATTGTGGGAGGTGCCTATAGCTAGAATTACTCTGAAGGCTGAGGCAGGAGAATTGCTTGAAGGTTCTTAAGGAGTTTGAGGTTGCTATGAGCTAGGCTGAGGCCATGGTACTCTAGCCTGGGAAGCCCAGTGAGACTCTAAAAAAAAAAAAGGAAAGGGAAGCAATAAAATCAAATGATTAAATGTGAGAGAAAAGTTAACATGAAGGGAAAGACCTAGATTTCCTCAAAAAGGAGTTCTGAAAGCAGATACAAAGATGGTAAAAGAATAATTTTCCCTAAACCAAAGAAAAACCCTAGTTTCTAGACTGACAGGACCTATCAAATGTCCAAGAGAAAGAAAGAAAAAAAAAAAAGCTGGTCATAAACACTGATTAAATTTCAAAATCCCAATGCTATAAAGTCCATTTCTATTGAGTTTAAATTTTCTACTTAATTTATAAAGCAGTGAAACTGAATCATAGTTATTAAAGAAAATGTAAATGTGAACATTTAAAATATAAAAATACCTGGGTAAGGGGCTCTTCTACAAATGGAACTTTACCCCGGAAGGGAGAACAATGTAACCTAAATATTGTACACTCATATTAATTTGAAAAAATAAAAAAAAATATTCAAAAAAAGGAAATATAAAAATAAAAACTAATCAAACTTAGAGATGGAATGTGGAAGGGAAGGTAGGCTACGATGGGAGCGCAACAAATGTCAAATTGAGAATTAACAAATACAATGCAAAGTCAAGAAAAGAGGAAACATAAATCAACTACATTAAGTTATTAATTATTATTAGAAGCCTGAGAAGTGAAATGAGTTGGGATTTTATTTTATTAAATTTAAAATAACTTTTAGGCTGGGCAGTGGCTCGTGCCTGTAATCCTAGCACTCTGGGAGGCTGAGGTGGGAGGAATGC